GTGCGAGGCTGAGGTGACTCTCTGCACTGTTTCTTTTTTGCTCCCCTCTGCTGTCTTGGCTGCTGTGGGGGGAACACAAAGGTTCTTGCTTCGTCCGTAAGTATGTCCGCGCGCAGAGTTTGTTGTTGGTGGGTGTAGGAATGCTGAGATTTGTTTGAGAGGTGTCTCGTTGCCGTAGTTGGCACAGAGGTGTATAGGGGTGTGTCTCAAATTGTCTGCCGCATGTGAGTTGGAGGCAATCCTGCTAGAAATGAGATTGTTTTGCCGAATGAGTGGTGTATATCTGGTGCGGCCAAAATGATGGAAATGAATTTCTTACTACCTGGCGGTGCGGTGTGGTGCACCGCACTGTGGCCGAAGGTGCGACATGATTGGTTCTTCTTAGCGTGTCGGAAGTGTGCAGTGGCTCTGGAGGTTCCCATGTTAGTCGGTGTGTCCATCGGCGTGTGCGCTGTTGAGGAGCACGAAGACCGCAGTGTGGTTATCTTTTTTTTTTTACCTTTTTTGTTCGTCCGCACTCAAATTGCTATGCTGGGTGCGGTGGATTGCCTTCACTTCGAATATATCCGTTGCTCTGGTGCTGGGGTGTGTTCTAGGTACTTTCCTGCGTTTAGTGCTGCTGCCATTCCGGCGGAAGAGCAACTGTGACGCTGACTGCCTAACTTATTTCTCCCGGGAAAGTTGGGTTGTGCGCAACTGTGTTCACCTCGGTTTAAGATCATAGGCTGAGGACTTCGTGAGTGACTGCGCCTTTGCAACTGAGCTGCTAAACCGTTACGGTGATTTAAACCACATTACTTCCCTGAAGATCACTGCAGTTGGTGTTTGACACCTGTAAGTAGAAAAGAACACAGGTCTTCGAACGTTATGCATTCCTTTGCTCTGTGTGTATCGGTGAAATATCAAGGCGTCGCCGACGGCCCTCGTCTTTCTTTCTTGGTCGCTTTGTTCTGCGCGACGGGCTCTGGGTGTATTACCTCGAGAGGTGCTCTGATTGCTGTGGCTGGGGGGTTTGACATCTGGTTGCAACTGCGCTTGGCTGCGTGTGTGTGTGGACGCAGTGCATGCCTCCTTTGTTGTGCCGTAGCTGCCGTGGCTTGGCACTTGGTTACCCATTCTCACGTAGTGGCTTCTTTAGTTACCTGATGTATCTTTCCTCCCCTGTCTGCCCTGGAAAGTAAAAAGACACACAATGCGGACACTCCAGCGGCGTGTAGCCGTTATCCTCTTGTGGAGCCTCTCGCTCTTTCTCGTCGTTGCTATTACCTTGAATTCCCCCAAAAGGTTTGGTTCTTCACTTAATCGTTTTGGCATTTTGCAGGAGGAACTACCCAAGCAGCGGCGGAATATCATGAGTCCCTTCGACAATAATACGGACGTTTTACTTCTTCCCAGTTTGCGTAGCTCATATCTCTGTGAATACTTGACAGATGCTACACAGTTGCCTTCGGGGTGTGTTCTCTCGTGTGGCGCAGGGGGGCAGCATGACGGTGGTGACTTCAACTGCCATGTCCACACG